TTTTTTTTTCTAAGCGCCTATCATATGACCTTGGAGAGAAGAAATAGTCACGACGACTCCTATGGTTCTGATTTTGACGTCTTTCGTGAGTGGTTGGCATCAAAGTAATTGTCCAGGACCTTCAAAATGAAGAGCGATGAGCACTGAGCGAAGCTTTGTAGTTATATTGATCGCTGAATAAGTCTTGACCAATACCATTCATGATGACTTGTGCACTTTCTCTCACCTTAGGCAGATTCGGGAGTTTTGCAGGGATGAGTTCCTAATGAGACAAATCACAAAATAAATCTTAACCCTTGCCCCGCGCACGAGACTTTGGTTGCTGGGAAGGGGGAGTAGTTACATATTCCCTCTGTCTCGCTGTGATTCGCTGTGTCTCCATGTAGTTCCTAACTTTTGGCATAATTAGTCCTTTTTTGAAAAACAGCCGAATTCTTTTTGAATTGTTATAACGCACAAGTAACAAATGCTTATAAAGGAGCATTTCATTATTTCTGGTAGCACTGACCATTCAACCCCTCACTGGAAGCCACTGATTCACTTGAACCCATTTCCAGCAGTTTCAAAGCGATTGTACTACGATAATTAAAATGGTAGCACAAAGATATGCATGGTGAATTACGGAAAAAAGATTAGTCCCTGGTGGGAATCGAACACGTACTTGAGCTTTTCGTGTGAGTGCCCTTTAACACTTACCTCAAGGTGCAACCATTTACTGAAACCATCGTGAATAGATTGCTTTATAAATGGCCTCTTACCATGGAGCCAATCATTTGAAAAGAGAAATTTGGAAAGATTTGTAGCTTTTCCGTTTGAAAATCTCGTTTTTTTGAAATCGCTAGTGTCATGTGCATAAACAAAATTTGAATAACAAGTAAACATAACAACAAGTACGTAGAGGCTCAGGATCTGACTTTTCAACCGTATCCACGCCTTCTACTATTGATCACGATTCAGTATCCTTCCGGAAGCGATGACGACATCAACTTAAAACTACCGAAAGGTCCGAGTGTGAGCACTGGTACTGTTGACCCCAGAGGAAACGGTGGTTCGTCAGAGCGGGATAACAGCAATGGCAGGAGGTTTCTTTTTAAATTTTCACAGTATCCTTCCGAATCCAATTCTAAAATTTCTTATTTTCAGCAACATATCACCTCCATCTCATCAGAACGGAGGTTATACTGCCACAAACACCGCGAACGCTGGGCGAGAATCAAAAGGAAGTGGAGATAAAGTGTTGACCCCTAAGGATGGATTTCCCAGAGCTGAACACTTCAATTTCGGAGAACCTAACGCTCCTTCGGGACATTCACCTGATGGTTTCGACAAATCCAAGGAATGGACGCCAGGGAGCCATGATCGTGTCTTGGATAGACAGCCTTCGGGCTTGGGTAGAACTTCAAGCGGTCCTGGAGGAAGTGCAACCGACGATCAGTCAGACCATGCAGGCAACCTCGGCGGAGGTCGGGATTTCAATTCATACTTGTATTTTTTCGATTATTTGTATACTTTTTTCAATTATCTGTATTCTGTACGAGCAGGCACCTCTTTCAAAGAAAGTTTTTACTGCTGCGGTTCGCTTTTATCCGTGGCTTGCAAGAAAAAATAGAACANCGGTCCTGGAGGAAGTGCAACCGACGATCAGTCAGACCATGCAGGCAACCTCGGCGGAGGTCGGGATTTCAATTCATTCTTGTATTTTTTCGATTATTTGTATACTTTTTTTCAATTATCTGTATTCTGTACAAGCAGGCACCTCTTTCAAAGAAAGTTTTTACTGCTGCGGTTCGCTTTTATCCGTGGCTTGCAAGAAAAAATAGAACATGATAGAGGGGTTGAAGGTAGCGGCATTCTGTAACGAATTAATGACTTAAGGAGCCGATTCGTTCTGGGACAAACCATGGAATCTGGACAAAAGTTCAAAGACCACTTCAGGAACATCCAGTGATTCTACTTTTTCGAAGGTTGGTTCCATTTTACTTGAAAGGCTGAGATACTTCTCATATTGGGGTAATACATCCCTGCACCATCCTTTTTACAGAAGAATGTGCTGAGAGAAGTTTATTTGATCATATTCTACAGTTGAGGTTGTAGTTGAGCCCAAGATCTCTTCATAAGTGGAAAATCGCCATACTAACTCATGAGTCAAAGTTATTATTTCTAACCTGAACCCAATCGATCACTAGCTTTTTTGGGATGCGCCACGCATTCGACTACCATTCACAATCATAATGTCCCTCGAAACCGTACGCAGCAAAACTGAATGGTTCACGGAGCCAGCCAGTGAGCTGGTATACTTCCATCCTCTCAGACAGGTCTGTTACCTAATAGGCGACCCTAGGGTTGGAAGGGTTAGTAGGCCTAAGCGGCATATGATCCATGCGAGTGTGGAACAATATCTGCCTGGGTCACCAAGCCTTCCATCCCTCCGGGATCGGTTAATTGGTGCCAGACTAGTCTGGGAGGATAAAAGCACTAACTTGTACATCGGCTGGACACCGCAAGTCATTGTATAGGTCACATACGCATTCAATACGCCGATACGATTCTGAATGGAAGTCGAATGCGTGGGCGCATTCCTCAGACGGGATTGATCAACGCCCCAAGACTTCATCCTTTCATCCTTAAAATATAGAACAGTACGCCACTTGGCTCCCCTCTGCCTCTGAACCCACTCGCCAGTCAGTCCTCTTCCCAGATGTGAAGGGGGGCCTTTGCTTTTCAACATTTGGAGGAACATTCTCAGAATCGGTGTTTTGCAGGATGGCCGACCTTGCTGTCCTTGTTGCAGTGGCTCAGCAGGCCCTGGTTCAGGAAGAAGTGGAGGGGAAACACAGATTGCAGGCTCGGCACAGCAAAAAGTACCTATCACGCACAACACAGGTACAGTTGTTCAAATGCGTTGCTGGGAGTTTTCCATCCACTCGGTCCTTCAGGATCATCAGTGCTAGTGCTCGACGTTCCGAGTAACAATATGTTCGTTTTTTAGTTTCCATTGGACCATTCAAAACAATGCAAAAACAAGAAGTGGCTTCAAAGATACGTGTGAGTGTTCTTGGTGGCTTATCTATGCCTAAGATGGAAAGGTTTGACGTATTTTGAAGAATACCCAGATGTCTTTGTCGTTAGAGCAGGATTTTCCAGGGAGTTGTTCTTGAGTTAACTCACGATGAGACTTTTCTTTGAAATGGTTCAGTGCCTGTGAATTGAAAACCATTGGTTCCCAACACCGTTGTGAACCACCCCCTCTTCCATTTGTTCAATCGAAACCCTAAGTTTCTAGCTATGAAAAAATGATTTTTTGAGAACAATCCCCGCAGAATCCCGAAAACGGTCGTATGCTTGAGGGTGATTCCAAGGGGAATTCCTTAAACATCCCGTAGCCTCCGCTGGTTCTCAACTTTTTACCATAAATACGTACATTCGTAAACAAGGGGTAATTAGGCAAAAAGGACTATTCAAGGTCCTCGACCTCAATAATATCATTTCCTTTTCCAGTTTCCCTTAGGCTCAACAGTAAGTAATAAGAAGAAACTCTTTAGTAAGAAATTACTAGGTTTCAACCAGCCTAAGCAATTTCTCCATTAGAAAAAAATTCGAACGACCCCACCTTTCGGATTGAGAAAATCCTTGATCAGAGATTGGTCGAACTTCTTTCAAAATTGAACATCACTATCTTCTCTGCTGGTATCCCATGCGAAATTCTCCGAACACTCTTTTATCACAGTTTGGAAATGAGAATTTCGATTGAACATATTAGAAAGGCGGTAGTAGCCCATGGATAAGCCTTTTTCATGTGAATTCAAGATTCGCTATAACTGATTGCTTGAATTCCTTTGTCTGGGTGCGCTTCGTTGCGCGCGTCCGTCGAAACTAGGTCACGCCGCAGCCGTCGCATGCGGCAGGTTAGCCCGCGATGTTTGACAGACGTCGCGGGTATCAATAGGGTGTGCGATTCGCGCTTGGTCCACGGCAGTCAGCTCATAGAGAAGATAACACGGACAAATGCCATTCATTCGCTCCACTGGTACTTGGTGGTACTGTAATGTCATTTCGAGACCTCGGTGGGGTGCGCCGCGCGCGAAGGGGGCGGGGTGACCTACTCTAGACGGACGCGCGCAACGGACGTTCCACCCTTTGTCTGGTTTACAGAAACTGTAATCAGCTTCCTAATAATCATAAGATAAGTTTGAATACAGTACAACTTTCAGAACAATGACGGGTTCGAAGAGATTCTTGATGCGCAGATCGATCCCGTACGTTTGTATCCTTGCTTAGCGTCGCAGTTTACCAAGACATTCAATTTTAGGTGTCTCTACGATCCGGCTCCAGTTCTGGGAAAGCAGGTCATATGAAAGTCGGAAGCAGGTGAGACTCCCATCGGTGCTTAACGTAGTGTTTTGCACGTAAACAAAAGAAATTACAAATGGAATAAACTGGCAAATCCCAGTGAAATGAAAAGCACGCAGGGTTCAATGGATCCTGTGGAAAAAGTTTTGGAAAACCGACCGACTTCTCCATCAAAATGTCTCAGTCGCCTTTCCCTATGATAAAGTTGAGGAGAAGCATTCATTCCACCCCCTACATAATGGATGGGTGCTGCTCCCGAGCACTGTACTTAAGGGGCAGCTTATCAGTGTCTTAGGTGAGGGCAATGGGTGTTCAGATTTTCAAAGTACAACAGGTTTAGTAGGAGGACATGGCTCAGAATCTGGAGATGTGTAGGAGCAAGGGGCACTGCCATTTCCATGCCATACCCATTTCCGGCTTCGTGGAGGGATCAAGCTGAGGACTGACCAAGTACTGCTTCTGTATGGGGTTAGTCAATCGGTACCTGACTGGAAGGATAAAAGCACCGACTCAAAAATCAGAGGGATGACGCAATTCATTGCCTAGGGATCAGCTGGACCCATACCTTTGGCATTCTTCTCAAAATTTTAGAGTCTAGAAAAAATCAGGCAGGAATTTTTCTATGAAAATTTTGAAAGGCCATTCTTATAATCAAGATTTATCCCCCTTGCGGCTGACCTATTCGTTCACTGCATTTTAACTCAATCATGTCTTCATTTTCGACAAGGTTGATGGATTATGAATTTCCAAAATAAACAGTTATTTACAGCCCAATCCGAGTGGGATCTTATCCTGATGATGACGAGACGTCTTTCCATAAACCTGGAACGACTCGGAAATTGTGGACTGTCGACTCCAGGACCTTGTCTCGAGGCTCAACGATCCCATCCAAGCCTGGTTCCAGCGGATTCATTCCTTCCAGCTCTTCTCACGAATTTACTCCTTCTAATCCTCTTGGTCGAAGGTAGTTCACCTTCAAATTTTCTCTACAATTCATAACTGTATAGAAATATCACCATTTTAGTGGTACCTTCCCATCGGATCGACATTCTGGAAGTTACATTCGGCCAACTGAAGTTCCAGGCGGTTCGACGGCTATCTTTTCCCCTCCGGTCCCAGGTTCACCATTTGGGCTACCTCAATACCCGCAACCGGCTGGATATGGTGGCGGTGGAGGCTGCCCTTGTTCAGTTCCAGCACCTCTACCGTGTTGTGCACCAGTACAGCCATGCTGCATACGTGAGTTGCTGCTCTCTTCGAAGTTTACCCCTCGAGACTTAGGTCAAGTGATAGTATCCCTTATCGTTTCATGAAAGTTGACTTGCAGCTACTCCTCCTTGTTGTCCACCACCTCCTCCAATACAGTGCTGCCCACAGCCACCAGTATGCTGTCAACCAGTCCAAGTGTGCTGTCCTCCTCCACCAGTATGTTGCCCGCCACCACCGGTTTGCTGCCCAGTTAGTTTAGAGACTTTTTTTCTCGTTACTGTAATAAAGACGGCCATTGCCGAGGCAAAGATGTTTTCGAGCATCATTTTTCACTTACACATTCAGGCTCCAGTATTACCCATATGCCTTCGAGCTTGTCCCATCTGCCCATGCCGAAGGAGATTGCACCGTGCACTCCGCATGAAACGAAGTCCAGGTAGCGTCTCACAAACAATGACTATTTCTCGGAATATTTCATTTTTCCAGTAAGTTCTGGATAGAATTAAGACCAAATAGAGGGAAGGAAGGGTAATATTCAATCTGAGACGAATAAATTGGCAAAAATTTAGGAACTCAGAAAACTAGAGAAAACTCAAAAAATCGTAAAATGGTAGACCTTACATTGTAAAATAAACTTTATTTCACACTGAAGTGGAGCTAAAAAGTTTCCTTATGCTTTGTCTTTCTCGACAGACTGTAAACTTTCAAAAAAATTCTTATAATTCACTAGAACATTTCAAAAAAGATCGATTTTTATAGAACTATTTGCTTGCTTTGGTCCAAGTCAGCGTTTTCCAGGGTTGACAAGCAACTGCCAGAAATGTTCAGCAGCTGGGCAGCCGAAACACGTGAGAGTGAAGAGGCAAGCGAATTGTAAAAACTGCTCTGAAAGTAGCAATCCGTTCACCTCGTTGTTCTCCCTTGTGAGTCTCTCCTTCCAGAGTAACCCTCTTATGTGCTCACGTTCTCTTTTCAGCCTACTCCATCTTCATCATGCTCAGCATGTCAACGAAGTGACACCAGAAATGTCAGAGTGAAACGAATGGTAAGCGAATTGCACTTAGNTAGGTTACACCTCGATGGGCTGCCTGAGCAACAAAGTCTACCAAATTAGACAACTTTTCCATTTGAAGTCCAACTCTTTCTTTCATTTTTGAGAACAATCTGTTGTAGCGCTTTCCCTCGTGGCTCATTCGACGGGCCACTATTTTCTTTCAGATTGTTTTTTTACTAATTATTCCCCGGCTTTTCTTACTGCAGCTCATCTACAACCTGATCTTACTTTTCGTCTTTTTTTTCAGTTCCACCTGATGACATGAGTTTCAGGGATGCCTACCATGCGGTGGACGAAAGAAGCGAGACATCGAAGAGGAATATCATCGACGAGTGAAACGAACAGTAAGGCCTTTTTGTTGTATCATACTTCTTTGTCGACATTAATTATAATTTCTAAATTCTTACCAAAGAAAGACAAAAAGGGGGTAAGGTATCCATTCAAAAAAGCTCGGAACTCACTTGACAAAGGATAGCCTCCAGCCAGAACAGTCACAATCTGAGATTAGGAATAACTATTTCCTTTTCTCAATTACCCCTTTTACCCTAACCGGAATGAAGGGTAAATAAAATCATTAGTAATATTTGTTTCAGGGATGTGTTCCATGTTTAGGAGGAAGAAAGAAGCGAAGTCCATTAGGTGGAAATGTAAGTCATACAATCGAGGTTCCATTCTCATAATAAATTTTCCTTATTTGGCAAAATTCCATTTTAGAGTCAATGCAAACAATGCTCAAATCTTGGCCAAGTCTTACAGAGGTTTAAGAGATCATTTGTAAGTGTTTATAACGATTTATTGTGGAATTTTATTAAAGTTCGCTGATCTAGGGTTGTCGGCAATGTGGAAGGAAAAAGCGTGAAGCAAAATCAAACGTGAGCAACCATTTTGTTCCATTTCCAGCTAGGAATTGTAACTAATGAAAGGTCCTGATTTTGTAAAAAAATCTTTCTAGGAAAACCAGTCTTCTAGCTGTCCTTGCTCTCCTGCTACACAGCCTCATTCATTACTTCTTGGAAGGAAAAAACGACAGGTTTTTTTTTCTTTTTTTTTACACTTCGATTGTTGTCTTGCCGTAATCTTGTCGACCTTTTCTGACCTTTTGACACATTCCATAATAATCTCACGATTTACCAGTAATGGTAGATGGGCATTTCTATCGCTTTCCTCTTGGGGTGTAGTTGTCGCGCGCCCAAATTGTGGACGAGTTAGCTCGCATTTGCAGTTCTTGCATACTTGTCACAGTTTCACCAATACATTATTTCTGTTTTTTGAATTTGTACTCTTTCCTCTACATTCTCCTTTATTCTGTTGATTTATTCCTTGTTAATTTTCAAAAATCACCTTCACAAAATCACCCTTTCCAGGTGGATAAGAACTTTGATTCCCTCTTCACCTGTGACAAATCGTGCTGCGACTACAGCAGGTTCGTTACAACGACTTTACAACCTCAGCCATTCTCTGAAGGGACAGATCACAATAAAGATGGTTTCTGATATATCCCCATAGGATGGCTTTGAGGCTTCCTCGTACATCATATCTGGAGCTATCAGGGCTGGAAGCGGCCTAGACAGGACGTTATAAAGGCGCAAAGCTTGTATTGTGTGTACCCTCGGACGAGTTTAAACAGCATGATGGAGGTTGTACTGTTCACAAGGGAATACATGTAGGGAATTTAAACAACTTGACCCGTAGCGACAGTGAAAGACAATTCTGAACAGTTTCGGCTTGATGTAATCAGCTCTTTGGGTAGTTGCAACAACTAAAATCTCGTCCAAAAACCCTTTCCATAGCTTGTTTTGACTTGATGTTTTGTTAACTGCTGTTTTAACGCCGCAGTACGCGAAGCGAAAGTCTCACAAGGTTGGCGATTCGTGGACAAAACTCCATTCTCGGACGGGACTTGAACCCGTACTTGTCCTTTCCGGGGGAAGTACGGGTTCGAGTCCCGTCCGAGACTGGAGTTCTGCCCAGGTAACGCCAACCTTGTGAGCCTTTCCATAACATTTCCGTCATGGTAATCTAGTATAACCTTTATTTTCACTACTTTTGAGAAGCCTCATATTTCGCAGAATCGGTTGAAATCAAAATCGAAATTCGATCAAATCAAAATCAAATTCAATCTAATCAAAATTTCTTGCTTTCTTCCTCATTCATGGATTATTCCCAAACACCACTTCCGCTTTTCCACTTAAAAAGGGTACCTCAAAATAATCGTGACCTGTGCCTTCAAGTGGATCCTATATTAAGCATCCATGTTCGACTCTCGATTAATCTTGGCATACATTAATGTTATAAGACTTTTTTACAACCTGCTGTCAAGATGTTAAATAAGTTCATATCAACTTACGTTTCGGCGTAATCGCCTTCTTCAGAGCCTGGAAACCTGTGTATTATCATTATCCATCCTTCATTCAAATCCTTCTGAAGTTTATTTGTTGAATGAAGGATGGATAATGATAAAACACAGGTTTCCAGGCTCTGAAGAAGGCGATTACGCCGTAAGTTGATATGGACTTATTTANCATCTTGACAGCAGGTTTTTAAAAAGTCATATAACATTAACAACGTTAACTATAGTCACATAACATTAACTATATTATTCTTCTTCTCATCCAGATGCGCGGAGATCCGAGCCAAGAAGACAACTGCACTCAGCCAGTTCCTTCAACGGATACGATAGAGAACCACACAGAAGTCCTTCTAATCGTTGAAATTCCAAAGAATTAATATTTAGAATTGTTTTGCTATTTAAAAATTGTAAAGTTGCAATATACGCTGCAATGCTCACACTCAGCCTTACCCAATCTCATTATGTTACACTAACTTCAATCATTCATGTGATACTTTGTTTGTTGTACGTATCGTTTAATCTAATACCTTTTTTTGCTCATATTTATTAATATATTTTTTATGAAACCTGACTACGCACTATTAATGTTANCAATGCTCACACTCAGCCTTACCAAATCTCATTATGTTACACTAACTTCAATCATTCATGTGATACTTTGTTTGTTGTACGTATCGTTTATTCTAATTCCTTTTTTCGCTTATATTTATTAATATATTTTTTATGAAACCTGACTACGCACTATTAATGTTACTACGTGCTCCACTACGTATCCTAGAAAGACATTGACCAGTAAAGGCATATTTACACCGCTTTGGAAAAGCGGTGAAAACATAGCTTTTTAGAACTCTTCTATTGTTTTCTTTTTGTATACTGTATTTTCGAAAGCTGTGAAAATTTCAGTTGATCATAGCTGCTCAGTGATTACTCTCCCTGGAATCACTTCCTTCAGTTTCTTCCTCCTCTACAGGGTAACATGTTCCTCCCGATTGACTGATTTCATTGCCAAATACTGCTTTCAATTGTCTTTCATGCTCAAACCATTCCTCAAACAGAATTTGATAAAAGAAGATGCACCTTTGTGAATAAAAATGAATCTTTCGTTTCTTATAAGTTTGTCTTCAACTCAATGGTCTACCATTGCTACCAACGAAAGTTATCAGAATATGTGAATTAGGCATTAAGCTTGAACTCTCTTAGCATACTATCAAAAATTTCTGTTACTGTTTTGTTCCGAGCTCCGTCAACGAACGAAGATCAGGGNTCAGGGTTGCCGTTGATTACGCCAAGAAATCGAAGATCAGGTGGGCCGGACACGTTATGCGATATAGTGATGACCGTTGGACCAGGGCGGTTACTGACTGGATCCCTCGGGACATCAAACGAACTCCAGGAAGGCCGCTAACGAGATGGTCAGACTTCTACACGAAAGCTCTTAACGAAAGGAATGGTGAACCTCATGTTCCTGAAGCGAGGACGATTCACTGGACTACTCTGGCTCGTGACAGGGACGAATGGAGACGTTACTGGTGCCCGCTTGAGGAAGTCGATGATCAACGGGACAACAAGTGATACAGGTGATACTATCAAAGATCTGTTTGTACCTTAAGATCACTCGAAGGAACGGCCACAGCAATAAGCAGTAACACCTGTATCAACCTCCAGAGATCAGCGTTCTGCCATGCACTTTGTACAAGATGGTATCGTCCTGCCGAACACTTCTGTTCACGTTGGCAATGACTTCCTTATGCAATGACGGAGTCCTGCTCGAGATGTTGTCGTAGGGCTCACGAAGCATCCTGATGTACTGAGTAGGAACATCCTGGTTGCCCAGGGCATCGATTACCGCTTCTGTCTGGACAGTGTCAAAGGCCTTCTTCAAATCGATGAACGTGAAACATAACGGCATCCTGTTCTCTTGCGATACTTCACCTTGTGACAATCCGGATGTAATCGATAGTACTGAACCATCTCCGAAACCCTGCTTGCTCGCATGGCAGTCATTCAGCCAGTATCCTGCCAGCCTTACTCAGGCTTCTCAATAGAGAATTTAAGACCGGATTCGTTCATGACTTCGGATTCGATCTCTGCGTGCTGTGCCCCATTAAATTTATCTTTTCCCTTTCAATAAAAAGAGAAGATTTTTCGAGAGACTCTTGAGGACGAGTGTGGTGTACGGAAAAAAGTCGAAGAATCGTAAAACACGCCCTATAAAGTGGCCCCCTTCCAAAACCCCTCAAAAATTTCCTGCCTCATTTCTATTTGCTTTCGATTAAGCCTCTTGCCTATGTTGCTTCTTAATCAAATCGCTATACAGCAAATTCGTTCTCCGACCTTTTTTGCACAAGATTTTTCTCAATGTAAATATGAGATTAAGGAAACTTCATTAGCGAAGTCCGGATTGAGATTTGTTGACTGATCGACCAAAGATCGACGACTACAGAGCGTTGATTCATGAGGGTTCTTATTAACGCAGATATGGCAACTGGACTAATCGAATTACCCTTCAATGCAGATGAGCGCTTTTGAATTGGATAGCGATTATGTGGGAATGTGGGGCTGAAACGCTCCACACAGCAACAATTTCTCGGCTGTAGTCATTACTAGAGTAATATAGTACTCCATTCAGAAAGTTCTGAAGGTATAAGTAATTATGTTTTATGGAGCTCTAACCTTATAACCCTATGTGTGAAATTACTTCCCAGAACAATCGATTAGAAATCTCATTTCGCCAAGAAGAGTTCTCCTGAGGTATTGTTTTTCCTCCTTCATATCTCCAAGCTACAGAAATAGCCCGAATGGGAAGCAGACATAAGGCGGGTATCAGATTTCGGTGTTTACGCTCCATGAAGAGCGTTTTACAGACAAAAATCAGGAATCACCCCCCTCGTAGCGTGCTCCAACCCCTATCAATAATTTGAAGTTAGAGAGTGGGATATTAATTAACATCAAATATCATTTCTAATATTAAGGAAATGGGCGGAGGTGGTGTAAGGAGAGGAGGCACATTACAACATACATGGTCCAGGGATCGGGTTCCGTATTTATACTCGCCCAGTCCAACCATGCCTTCGACCCTTCTTGGATCAGTTGAAGGGTACCCGATTGGTTTGGGAGGATAAAAGCGCTGAGTTGGGCATTGGCTGGTCACATCGAGCCATGCATAGACCACTTCAAACGATTCGGGACTTTGAATAGATGTCGAATGCGGGGCGCGCTCCGAAAACTGAGTCGATTGATGTCCAAGGCTTTTATACTTCATATTAAAATAGCGATCTTACTCTTGATTAGCATATCCACTGCTGTGATGCGACTCTAAAACACACTTGCAACCTGATGCTCCCCCAATCTTTCCTGTAGAAGTTTTTCAGTTAACCAGTGTGCTTTTACACTACTCAATTTCTGTAACCTCAGGAGCCTGTAGGCATCAAAGAGGAAGCACTGGAAGCCATAGGTGGTTCAGCTTTTGATCTTGAATACGAAAACAACGAATTCTACCGCGTATGGGGCGGCTCTTTGTACCTCTCTTTCAATGGGAAATAATTATATATCGCGACTTTGAACAGCCCATTACTAGCATACTTTGTAATAGATTGGTTCAAAATGAAAGGGGTATTGGTTCATGAACTTGCTGTTAGACCAGTATTGGGAGTACGATATGCTTGTTGTTTGCTTTTATCCCTTCGTATACGGTCTTCTAAGAAGGTCTGACCTACTAATGGGGCACGGCATGCTGTAAAAGTATCGTCTTGACTATATGACACCGAGGCAAAACACAATTCATCTGAACTTTTGTGAAAGGTTTCTTAAATTATGTCATTACCAAAAGATGAACCAAAGGTTACCAAAGTAGGATTCGTCTCGAGCGACAAACTAAGCTCTCAGCGAACAAAAAAGACGATGAAATGCTTTGCATGGAGTATTCCAGACGTACCCAGAACAGCCTCTGAAAATTGGCTTTCGCTGGCCAGCCACTATGTAAGTCATTGCTTTCATCCTTCCATATAAGCTTGTGTCAATTAATCGACCCCTTAAGGATGGAAAACTTGGTTGAGTAGGGTATGAGCACTAAACGCTGTCTTGCCTTCCAATTCCCTCCCAGTCCTGTCGCTGAATCTGATTTTTTCCAAGGCTCGGCAATTCAACGATTGAACACCTTATTGTCAGAGCAGATCGGAGACATCAAAGACCAGTGGATGTGGAAGTGTTTATGCTGAGGTGTCAGCTACTTCTGCAAAGTACAACAGAAACCCTGCAAGAGGCTGCAGATGACAACTCGTTCTCATTCGTGCATAAGAAATGGCAATCCATGAGACGTCCTCTCTACCTTTCAAGAATTATTATCATGAATGGAGCAGGGTGGAGTTCAGTGATCGATTCGTCAGAAGCAAAAGGACTTTGCTTTTAGTAGTGCATAGCAGGTGCTGGCTTCAGGACTATGAATTTCAGATGCTAATCCGACCTCTCTCGGTGTAATCAGTTCTATAAGGGCAGTTAGTTTGGCTATAAGAATTCATACATTCTCGCTGGCATATCGGGATGCTCTCGGAAGAAAACACTGAGTTTATATGTACATAGGCACAGACGTTTACGGAAGTGGACGTTTCTATTTTGGCCTCAAGAGTACTTGTGATTCCTCACGAGGCTGATGCTCATCTATGGCACTTTCTGAGCGCCTCTGCTCTAAATTGATTAGGAGCAGTGAGAACTTCTCTCAAAAAATTCCATTTCATGGTTATTTCCAGGGGTTATTTCAGAAGCAAATATAAATATCGAACCTCCCACGTAGGTCATACTTCATAGGATCGCATTCGTATTAAAATTACATATGCAAATGCAAACCTTATTCATTCCTATGCAGATGTTTTTTGGCTGCACAATTGTCATTTGCAAGGATGAAGGTGAAAGGCTGGATTAGCCCAAAAGGGAAGCCAACAAAAGCTCCACTGGATGGTTCTACTCATCCGAAGCAAACAGGGAAGCAGGAGGAATTCCTGGAATGTTCCCCTCGGCAAAAAGGACGTCGAGGGTGCTGCCAGTTAATCAGCCTTGCATGAGACAAGCATGCCAATGTATCTTCACGGAATTCCTTAATTGACGACTTGCATCCAGCAGATACCTATGATGGGCCGTAGAACGAGAATTAGAAGATTTTTCTGGAAATCTAATTTCACATTAACACTCTTTGCAAATTTTGACTGAATAATTATTGAAAGTACCTTACATGGCGGGTGGATGTGGTGTAGTGGCAAGTGGAGAGCTTTCACGCACGCATAGTCCCGGGTTCGAATCCCGGATCGATATACGCCTAGGCCAATCAAGCTTTCCTGCCTCCGGGGTCGGTTAATTGGT